GAAAATTTTCATCTCTTCTAATTAGGTTTTGAATGATTGTATTAATGAACTTTGCCATGTCGAAGAAAGATTTTGAAAAGTGAAGGACATGATTTAAAAACTTACTCACACAACGCTCTTAGTTTAATAACACTTTGACTACTACTAGCAATCATCACCTTATACACTAAACCGACTTATTCACATATTTTACCTCATGTTCAGACATTAAAGACTGCGTTCTAAACCATTTTCCACAAAGAGAGCAAAAATAACGACGACCACTTGCATGAAGTTTCATGTGAACATTATAGTTAACTTGACGTACAAAACGTTTTGTGCATATAGGACACTGGTAAGGCTTTCCAACTGCAATGACAAAATAAGCACGAAAAATTGGAAATATAATGTTATACTTTATCTCTATGTCATTTTTTCTTAGGGAAGTTTACAAAAATACTTAACCAGAATGGGTCTTCTTATGAATTATTAATGTTGTCCTATCCGTATACGACCGACCACACTTTTCACAATTGTACATCGGCTTTTTATCATCATCAATTTCAAGGTCATTCCGAATCAGAGTATTACTGGAACAATCTTCAGCTTCAATTTCATTTTCCTCATTAAATAAACCATCACCTGAAAGCCTGTTCCATAGTCTAGAATAAAAAATATGACTTACTTCAACTACTCTAAATAAAGTAACTGATGACTGTCTATAAACAACATTTTGCAAATCTAGAATAACAGGGTAATAATATAAAATATAATACTTTATTAAAAATCCTACTCGTTATTATATCTGCCATATTGGTAAATCTAAACGTCAGCTTCCTGCTACCAATTAGAAGTGAGAACTTTTGGAGAGGATTTTTTCCTTGCCCTCGATCATTTCCAGACGATGATGACAGTTGACACGGGCTTACAGAAGCCGAGTTTTCTTCACACTGCAGTAAACAACATTTCTAAGAACTGGTAATTCAGTAAACATTTCAAAGCCTTGAGAAAACTTAAAAAAATCATAAAATCCCACAGGAATATTATGCACGAGTTACTAAAAAATAATGTTGAAATTAAATACAGAAAGAACTAAAACTTAATATCTGAACACACATCTTACCTCAATCAGATTGGTTGATTCCTTTTCACTGATCAATACTGGACAATCGTCATCACTATTGTTCGCTCCCGATTCCTATTTTAAAACATTATTCATGATGAAATAAATTTGGCTTCATTACAGACTGAAAAGTTGAATCTAAAAGTTTAAATTAACAAATACAGATAATACACACAAACATATAAATATAGAAAATGAGAAATATAAGAAAGCCCAAAAAGTCTAAATTGTTAGTAACAATACAAAATAAGGAACTGAAATAAAGTGTGTTTATCCCAGCTCTTTTAAAACAATGCATGTATGCAATAATAATATGATCACGGAAGCTTATTATATTTAAAAAAAGAGATTAAGGACAAGATCACTGATATTATCTTTTTCTTCCTCATTTTTGTGCATTAACATTTCAATAAGCGCTTCAATAACTTGCTAACTTGAACAATTTGGTGATTCACGAGAACTGACTTTGATGCATTGCTACTGTTGCTGTTAACTACAACAGAAGGCGTAATCTCATTACATAATGTTGATTTATCACACATAATTTCATTGTCTTTCTTGTATTGCAGTCATCTTTCTCGAAATCCGCTTACTTTAATCTCCAACTATAATAATTTTCATCCCGTATTATAGCGTAAATTATTACATGGAAAAAAACATCACAAAGTTTTCTATTAGAGTCTTAGAGCGTATTCTAAAAACTATAACTGGAAACTCATTTTTTTCTCGACTAATATTTTTACCCTAAACTTTTATGTACTACACTCATTGAAACTGTTAAGTACCATACGAAAAGTAATCACCAGAGAACGTAATAACTCACGCCAAACGCCCATTAAAAATAAAAAAGCTACGCTACATACTCCCTCTCAAATGTACAATACTTTGTATTTAACAAGCTCTGATAAATTCTCATACATCTTCCAAGCATAATTTCTTCCTACCAATCACTTATCATTTTCAATGCATACTTCGGTACCAATCTTCTTTCCTTCATTTATTTCCAGAAGCTGCGTAATTCAACCGTAATGTGTTTAGCAACAGAAGTTATTTCCTCACACGCCGCCTAATAATAAAAACGACCCCTCTATATTTTCACAGTAGAAGCAAAAATAAGAATAAATATTGTAACAAAAACTGAAAGAGTATGTATGTAAAGAAGAGAGAATGGAGATAAGAGTAGAATTGAGAAAGACTATCATTATAAGAATTGCTCTAGCAAGAGATGAGAAGAAAAGAAATGAGTAGTGTGTTCATCAAGGTGAGGGGGAATAAAGATTGATAAGTTTTCCGAGATATGATTTCTCCAAAGATTGGAAAACACACGAGAGGGTGATTATTAATTGCTGTGATAGAGACTGGATGGGAAGTAAAGTTAATCAAGTAATTTTTCGCTAGTTAATATTTTATAATTAGTAATTAAACTAAAACTTCACTCTTACTACAACACATTTTCATACGAAAACAAGTCACTTATATAATCAGTAAGTGATCAAATATTACAATGATGATTGCTCTATTAACATCGTTTATATTGAAAACTATAAAGTTAAAAGTGACGTGTGATTCTATAATTGAAGTATTTCATGATAAGCGTAACAAATAGACGAAATGGTTATCAACAAATACAAACTGTCAAGCACGTAGGAGTGATAGGTAGTGCAATATAATACATGTGCCAATGCTATCAGAAACGAGGAATTGTGCGTCATCACGTGGTTATATATGACAGGGATAACTTCATACATCACGCAGCATAATGGCACGTGTTAGTAAACGAACTCTCATCCCTCATCCCTCATTCTTACGCACATACCACCTCCCCACTGTGCACTGCACTTCCAGAAATTGCATAAGTAATACAAATTGATAATTTTTATTTAGAAGAATTTTTCAAACAACAATCAAACGTCACGCAGCATTAAATATTTCAATTTATTCAGCAGTAAAATTCAAAAAAAGTGAAAAGTGAAAGGATTTTTCAATTTTTATAAATATTATGAGCTTGCTTCTATTTATTTCAATATGATTCAGACTAACTCTAATGAATGTGAATAAGCATTGATTATGACTTAAAGTGAATTTAGCAAAGTCAGCCACTAATACCGAGGTATGCGCTGATGAAGCGGTGCTATTGGAAGGAACTCAAGGGTACAAGTACCTTGCAGTGGTGGAAGACAGGATTAGTGCACCTACCCGTGAAAGATACGATAAAGTTCGTGCAGAGATTTTAGTGAGAATTGAGCAGCTAGCCAGAACTGCACTGAATAGCAAGAACTTTATCAAGGTTGTGATTGAGCACGCCATGAGTTTATAGTGAACCAATTATATATTAAATTGTACTGCAAAAAACAAAGTGAAAAAAGAAGAGTTCATTTCTATATTCAATTTGAATTGTTAGCAAACTTTACCAACTGCTTCGAGTCCATGCAAAGATCATTGTTTGACATTGATTTTGTATTTTTTTTACGTTAATTTATAAAAACTTTTTGAGATTATTTTTTATTTACACAAAAAATGGCATTAAAAAAGATAAATTAAATATCTGGCTGGTGCTTTTCATGGCTGAAACATCTGCGAGTGATATGATGGCTGTTCTACTCAGTTGAAGCAATACCACCACTAGCTTTATTTCATATAAAAACAATCAAAAGTTTTTTCAGTAAGAAAAATTTTAGCACTATCAATTTGAAAACTGTAAGCATTTGTCAAAAATTTCCAATAACTTATCATTTCTTTATTGATACTTAATTAAAGTGAATTACTACTCACTTTATACATTTTTAGTATAATTAACAAAAACTGAATTATGAAAATGCATGCATGCAAAAGACAAAGTGAAAAAAAAGAAGAAAGAGAGGGTATTGTTGAACTCGTAGAATGTGATTACACGCAATTTACGCCACACATAATGAATGCATTATTATTCAGTATTTTGCAACTTTTGCTTCTTGTGTTGCTGACTGCAATTGTTTACTTTGACTGCATGATATTCGTCGTGAAATAAAAAACAAAGTTTTCAAACTTTTAAAACATTTCAGTCTCACAAGCTATATTATTAAGCATTTGTTTACGAATAATTAGTCTTAGCACGAATTGTAAAATGCATTGAATTTCATCTTATCAGTTGACAAGTTTAAGGTAGTATTTGTGTCAATGGAAGCTAATTTTTAGATACTTGCAAATTTCATCCTTTATTTTGCTCAACAATCTTAGGGAATAAATTAAAGTGCTAACCAATATTGCTACATGGACTCACTTTACTTTAGTTTTGCTCTATTTTTACTGATTCAACCAAATTTACGTATTTATCCAGCAGTTGTATTCTTAGCACATAAGCAAGCTATCGAAAAAAAAGAAGACATATTCTAAATACCATTTTCATAATTTAAAAAAATCGTTTTTTAACTTCATGCTAAATATTAAAGTGATATTATCTTCATGATGTAGCCAGTATTCACTTTACTCTGTTTAGTCAAAAAAGAAATTGATTTAGTATTTGAATACAAGGCATTTGATTAATGACATAGAATATCATGCTTGAATTATAATAATGTAATATTTATCATAATATTTTATTGTGAATCAAATATTGCAAATATTGGATTTCATTCATTTGTAATGTTCGATAATGTATTTTTTATTGCTTGCTCAAATTTAATGCCATCGAATTTAATTTATTTAACACAAATGAATGAAAAGCGCCATTCAATTTTACTACTATAAGTACAAAAAATATTTTCTCAAGCAATTTCTGATATATTTTTCAATATTTGTAGACACTTAAATCATGATCTTCCTTCTACAGTAGTTATTTTAAAAACCCTGAAGACTTCATTTTGCTTTGATTCCAGAATTATAGTAGATGAAAAACAAACGAAAAACTTTTTTTCCACAGTTTGCTATAAAGTGAATAATGTCTTGACCTATGGTCACATATTAATGACAAGAAAATAAGATAGTTCAAAACCGTTTCTTTCTTTTTAATTGACAAGTATTTAACAGAAGGATCAATAAATCCTTATCATTACTATCTTTATCCTTATCAATACACTTTTCATTTCTTATTGCATGCACTTGAAGTATGCAATTTTCTGGCTGCAATACGTAATTGCTGTTGATGGGTCCATAATGATTACTTTTATGTATACGTGTTTATTTCATGAATGCCACTGTCTGAAGGATACTGTCGAAATTTACGTTTGAGAAGTAGAAAATTTCTCTAGCATATTTACTAAATTGAAACATATAGGCAGGTATGTTTTATGTTTTTGGACAAATGTCACTTTAAGTGAACGATAAAGTAAGTAAAACTGAGCAATCATTTTATGGTTGTTTGTTGCTAGTTCCTTCTTGTGCTTCCACCTATATAAGAGGAAATTTATAAAATTCAATATACGTGAATTAAGTAAAATGCAATTGGCAATCTAAGCGTGGATAGATATTTGTTACAATGAAAAAAAAAGAAAATAAGTTGTTGTAGCATTTGTTAATAAAAAGATTGCACCATCATAAATCCCTTTTCAAAGATAAGCCAAGAGGGATTAATTTGCTTGAGATTACGATTACTGTTTGCTTATTTTTTATTTTTTTGAATTTTACTGCATTTAATTATGACCAATAGCTATTTCATACATTATATATATCAGAGTTCTTATTTACTACGCTTCTTACTTTCATTTAATGACTGCTTTCAGTTATTTTGTGTATTTTTGGTAATGACAAAAATTATATATAAAATTTGTAAGCTTTTCAGTAAGATGTTTGAATTCTTGTCTTACTGCATTACATCCGCATTTTTTATTATTAAACATTTTTTAAAATCTTTTCGCTCTTCTTTATAATATAAAAGCTTAAGTAGAACTTAGCTATTAAAATGTTTTTCTGATAATTTGTTTTTTACATTTTCAATTTTGATATTAAACTTTTAATCAACGTTATTTTCAACAGTAAGTCAAAGATTGCCTGATGCTATAGATAAACACAACAAGTGAGTCACTAATTCAAATGCTAAGCTGAAACAAAGCAAAAGTTTTGCTGGCAATTTGCAAGAAAACATCTGCTTACATGCCAATTACTTCACGTCTTTAAATGTTTTTGCATATGTTGTTTAGTTTGAGTAGGGAATTGTAAGGGTAATATTTTTATTTACTCCTAGTATTTTTAATATGAGTTATGCAAATTCAAGAGCAAATTATATGCAAAAGATATAGTCCTGAACTTGTTTGCATTTTGAAAATGTTACTTCAAATTATTAATAAATATTTGTGAAAATATGTAATCATTGGTAGTCATCTATTTAATTTATTAGGTTAATAATAATATATTTGCTACGACAATTTTTTTTCCAATCCTTACTCTTCTAAGGTAATTAAACGTATGAAAAAGATGCAAACTATAATTGTTGGTATTCGTGAATATGAGCAGTCAGTTATGAAGATGCGTCAAAACAATACTTGAAACATTATTTTTTTCAAATGTTTTTCACATTATCAGTGAATAGATAATATTTAATACTTAAAGTGTACATTTTATGACTGCATATATTTTCAGTATATCTTAACTTTCAAAAATTATTGATTGCTGAAAGTAATGCTTAAAACTTTTTACACTTTTTGTTTTGGAAAAAAGTTATACGGAAAGGCAGGACATATTTATTGAGGATAACAAAATGAAAACCAATGCATAAAAAAGCAAATAAAAATTAATACTTATTATGGTTTGGTTGATTAAACAAAAACAGGACATATATTGTTATCACTGACTTACATAGATGTACTCTGCAAGTGAATGCAAGCATTTTTCAGATATTGTTTTTTCATTTGAATTTTATTACACTAAAAGTTGTCATTTTCTCGGCAAGGCAAGAGCAATAATTATTAGATTTTATTCTGTCGCTTTGCAAATGTTTGTTCATATGCTTTTTGTGTTTATTCATCAATTAATCATTTATTTAGTAATGCAAATTAATTTTATATTTGCTTTAACTCTACTTTCATGCCAATAATTTCTTTCGTTTAATCCAAGTATTGCTTTGTATATTTTGAAAGCCAAAGAAACAATAACAAATAACAAACTAATAAATATCCTTTGCTGATCAACGAGAGCAGTAGCGTTAATATATGCATCCGAAAATGGACAGAAATAGGGATTGTCAAGAAGTACGATTCAATGAAGGTTTATTAAGTAAGTAGTTTAGAAGTAAAATGACTACTTTGTTACTTTGCTTTTATTATTAATTTCGAATTTCGATGAAATATTATTTGATGAAAACGAAATCATTTTATGCTTTTGCTTGAGAATGAAAACTTTGCATATTTAGTGTATCCAGTATAGTCATATATGTCAACAGCTTATGCAAAATCTTCTTTCTGGCAATTAATCTATGAAAGCTTAGTTTGCCTCTTTCAGTAATGATGTCTATACACCGTGCTTGTTAAACTTGACAAATTTTAAAAGCATATGTTGAAGCAGTTGGAGTTAAAAAGAATTTACAACATTAATAATTAATAATCATAATCATATTTTTATTATTATTAATTACTAATATTGTAATTGATATTATTATTAACAATTTTTAGCCTAAACAACAATTGTTATTTTATTTTTCTGAATGAGAGCAAAAAATTTCTGACTTTCAGCTGGTTCAACCGAGCTGCTTGAGGCAACAAAGTTTTATCAAAATTGTTTTGATGAAGATACTGAAAGTCGTTGGATGGAATTTTACGAGGAAACCAAAGCCAATAATCAAGCAACATTCAAATCGGTTACAGCAGGTATTGCACATGCATGTAATCAATTTTAGAATATTAAATGCAATTTGAATATTAGATTTTGTTGAGAAGATATTTTAAATCAAAACATTGCCTTCATTATTTGCATTTAAATACCACTTTATTTTGCATGTCACTAACTGCTTGAAGACAGCTAGTTCCAAATCATCTTTGCTTCAAGACTAAATTAATTTGATTAGTTTCAGATCAAAAGAAAAAATCACTTTTTGTTTATTATTGATAGAGCAGTCTTATGATATTACATTTTAAATTCTATTGCAATAAAATTTAACTATTTAAAAGCAACTAGCTATACTAAGAAGTCATTCAAAAAGTGAAAGAAGTTGGTTCAAAAAACTTTTCAAGCTAGTAATTTTTTCATGTTCAGAAAACAATCAAATAAATGAGTTGAATGTTTCAAATGAGAGGGACAAGTCAGTAACACGTTCAAATACTGCAGTAAACAAAATCAGTACTGTGAACAACGCATCATTTTTAGGTAAAAAATCTCTTCTATATTTGTAGTATTCAACAGTTAAAGTATTCTCCGTCAATTACTCATAAGTGTAGATTTTATGAGATAAAATATAAATTCCATAAATATGCATTACATTTTCAAACAAATTTAAACGCACAAATGAAAATGAGTTTGCTTAATAAAATTATTTTGATTTGTTTAGCAAAAAAAAATCATTCATAATATTTTTGCTGGAAAAATGACTTCAAAATGTTTACTAATGAAGTACTTTTCGCCCATACTTATTTGCTAGAAAAAGTGCTTCATAAAAATGATAATGCTGAGGCTTTTCTGAATTAAAGTGTTATGAATAAAGCACAGATTTATCGACTACTTATTTAGAAAAAACCCATTCAGCTGAACCGAAGATTGGACAACTGTTCAAATCTCATTTAAAACGATGTAATGAAATGAATAATCTCGACAAAACTGATGAATGGAAAAGATAAACTGCGCAGATTTCCTTCTATAATTTATATTGTATGATCAACTTTTGCATCATTAAAGCCTAAATTCTTCTTAAATCACGCTAATAACAACTATAGTACATCCATCAGAAATGTACTTCTAGTTCAACTCAAAATCAGTTTCCAAAGTTTAAACACTACATCGAGACACTGCCAACTCGTCGACAAAACTCATTAAACATTCCACTCCATTATTTGCAAAGTTGAAACTATAAGAATCCCGTCCACAGTTCAATTCGTCAAGGTATTAAAGAAAATGCAAGAAGTCTGTCAAATAAACTATACTAGCAAAATTGCTGCTGCATTTTATCATTCCATGTTTTGAAATAAACTTTCCGACATTCTATCACCTACATCAACTCATTGTACACGACAGATCCAACAATGAATTGAAAAGTGCATCATTCCTTCCTCCTCTTAATGGCAAATCTCATTCCTGCAACCATAATCATTTCTTCCCCATTCTATGCTGACTTCTATCAAAATTTTTGTATCTCATTGACGGAAGGGCAACACTCCGGGACCTCATAAGCTATCGAAACCTAGAAACCCTACCAATTTAAAGTCCTGCTAAAATATGTTCCATAAATGCATTAAGTGTCATACATCTACGTGATAAGACTGCGACAATAAGGTGAACTCATCAAAATTACCTTTCATTCAACATTGTAAAACAGTAAACATGAACTTGTAATAATCAAAATTAAAGATCTGATGTACTACAAATATTAAAACGTTCACAAATTAGCGATAAAACACAATCAATACGTTCCAAAAAAAGGAAACTTCAGTCTAGTTTCCGAAGCAATAAAACACAAAGGTAGCGATAAGTAACATTCGAGGACGTACCGAACACGATACCATTCAACGAACGACTGTCAACTGAAAATTGCTTATGATTAAAATGAAGGAAATCAATCAATCCACAAAAATGCTACGCGCTGAAATCTGCAAGCATAAGCACTGAGAAACATGTACTTTGGTAATGAAGGGTAACATAAACTTTCCACAGCTGAATGTGGGAAAAAAAGGACAGAGAGCCAAACAGAGAAATCAGTGAGGAATATTAAAAAAAAAAATTAGCGATAGTTCACTTTTATATATATTAGAAAGTGTAACATGGGAATGAGGAAAATTTCTATTTTATTTGAGAAAAAGACTAACGATATCATCAATTTTGAGAATAGAGCGAACACATTCCGCAGCTTGTTTGATAGCTGAAGTAGTCACCAAAAGTGGCTGTAGAACATTCTCCTCTCTAATATCCGTAACATGACCCTATAACATACTTCTAGAGACTGAGTGAAATATTATAAAAGAAATTCATAATGATAAAGTTAATATTTACTAGTGCGAATGCATAAACAACAAAATAAGAGGATACAGAAAAACTAACTTTCCGAACATTTACTCCATGATTTTTCTTGCCATTTGCATGTTGAGCTCTTAATTCAGTAACCGTGTATATTGGATTTAGGCCAGCATTTTCTGCTAATGTATACGGAATCTGCTCTATAGCATCAGCAAAAGCCTAAGCAAGAATATGTCAGCGTACACATTTACTAGCTACGATACCATCAAAAAATGATTTTAGTATTAGTTATTTGATATTAATAAGATGAAAAAATAACTAACTCTCCAACAATATTGCTCTGTACCATGTCTTTCCTGTGCTAAATGACGTAACTGAACCGCTACCTCCATTTCTGGTGCTCCACCACCTAGAAATGAACAGATTAGATCTCAAAAGTTAATAGAGAACTTATGTAAAGGACAAAAATGGATTCGAAAACTCAAAGATTTGGATAAACCTGGTAGGAGAGCCCGCTTCTTTACCAAACATCGTATAACACAGAGCGCATCATGAAATGATCGTTCTGCTTCCTCCAATACTAATTTGTTCGAACCGCGAATTAAGACTGATATTGCTTGACCAGGATTTTGCACACCAGTAACCTAAAATTATAAGCCATTGTGAGCGCCAAATTTTTGGGTAAAAAAATTAAACTAAGCAAGTATCAAATATTCACGTAAGAAATTAGTGTAGAAAATGGTACCTGACTTCATTCCTCACAATGTTTATGAATGGCATATAAAGTTCTTAGATGCTGAATAACCTGAATAATCCTGCCGCCTTCACCAGTCGAGATTTCTTCAACAAGATCAGCAGAACCCAGTGCTTCGGGAATGAAATGATCAATGGAAGCAACAGGGCGACATCCCAAAACGCGAGAATAGAACTCGATGTCATCTCTTTCGATGTCTTTGACGACCATTATTTTCATTTTGGATAAGAAATGTAAAGTTGTTTCGTTTACTGCATCTCTTTAAACAAATTTAATTTGGTTAATGGGAAAAATGGAGGAGAGAGATTTTAGACCACAACCTTACATCATAACAGTCACTCATTTAACGTACCTGAGAATACTCTTTTGTATTAGCAAAACATTACATCCAGCTTTTTTTATTTGCTTGCACAAATCAAGCAAATATGCTCGTTCTTCTCTTAAAACTCGATCCATCTGACTATAGTCAGACAAAATCACTTGATTCTCCATCTGAAATAAGCTCGACAGAAAATAAGTAGAATTAGTACCCGAGCAATAACATGATGACAGAAAAACTGGCAGTAATGATAACATACATCAGTTTTTGGAGGGCTCAATTGGAACTGAATCAGCCCAATCTGAGCTTTTTCAATGCGTGTTGGAGCACCGCGTCCCATAGAACATCTGTCAATGAGTGCTCCATCAACCAGGCGTGACTCTTCAACTGTACCACCCAGTTTTTTCACAATTTTGATCATGCGTAAATCAACATTATTATCATCCGAATTTGTAATCTGAAGGTACACAATTAAACCTATTTCATTAGACTTTTATTTCACGTACAAGAGCTTTAATGCAAAAAATTACTTTTTTAACAGCATTCACTGCCATTGGTGCAAGCAGCCACGAATGCTGCGATACAACCTGAAAAAAATCCATTGCATAAACAATAACCACATTCCTACGCAACAGTAAAAGAAGAGAATAGATGACAGAATAATTTGCTCTATATACACTTGAAATCAAACAAAAATCACTAGTAAATTAACTAACAAGGAATTGCTCAATAGCTTTTTCGTAACACGATTAAGGTTAAGTACTAACAAAAACCCTACTTTAGAATTTAAACTCGTTTTAGCAATTTTTGCCAGCTGTTCATCATTATCAAGATCTACTGGGGAAGCCATGGAATTTAAAATTTCATCAGCCTTCATAGCAGCACGCTGAAAGCTTTCCGAAATCGTTGTCGCATGAATGCCTAGAATATTTTAACATGTGATTTGCATATACGAGCATTTAATGTATATATAACATGAAAACTTTTCACATTCGCTCATATGTGCATTTAAATTTCTCCTTAATAACCCACTATAATCAACACTATCAAACAACCTTTGCTAATCAATTTCTCGGCAGCATCAAGCAATGCACCAGCAATAACGACTACAGTAGTGGTTCCATCACCTGCTTCAATATCTTGAGCTTTCGATAATTCAACAAGCTAAAGTCAACTATATAGAACATCAAACTGATATTGGAAGAGCTAGACATAATGAAAACACATTACGGATTTTTAAGAGCCCCTACAATTTACAACCATGAGAAACAGAAAAGTAACAAAACTTTTTCGCTCTAGAAATTTCTATGAATAAATCAATCTAATTTTCATTAAAAGTGCAGTACAAATATTTAATGACACAACAAAGCGAAACATTGCAACCGACCAATTAAAACGACATACTGAATAAGCTGAAATTTATTTTTTCAAGATCTATACCATTTTAGCAGCTGGATGTAACACACTAATGCGTTTCAATATGGTTGCTCCATCGTTTGTAATTGTTACTTCACCTTTCCCAGTTTCAATCATTTTATCCATACCTAAAATCCGAGAGTCGATAATGGTATTGTCGAACTCGATACTAACGTATTTATCAAACAACAATGATTCTGTTTTATTTTCTTAATTAGTATGCCCTCAAATAATCAAATTTTATGAACTTTCAGATATTGGTTAAAATTATGCTTAGACTGGTAGTGCTGAAATAACCTTTAGGTCCCAAGCTTGTTCTAACAGCTTCAGCAACAGCTTTTGCTGCGACTATATTGCTGCTTCGAACACTATCTGGCTTTTCCGTGTCCTGAAAGTATCATTGAAGTTAGCGGACTATATCCCATAATCTTTTTAAGTCTTTCTGTGGCTTTATTATCTAAATGGCTTGAAAATCCAAATCAAACTGGTGTGAATGAATAAATTTATTTACAATTCACTAGGTTTTAAATAATATACTAGAAAATTCCAACAAACGAATGCTCGATCATACTATACAAAAATAGCACCTAATTAAGACAGAAATCAAACCTTGAAAGAGACATTTTTACTTTTCTGAGGAGCTTCCGGTGGGTTTACGAGCGCTGTCTTGGCCATTATTGAAGAATATCGTTGCCTGCAAAAAACCAACAGTTTTCATGATTCTACGATAAGTTAGAGCGATTGCCTCCACGGCAATTGCATTAATTTCATTACAAACACCTAACTATTACCTACGTTAATAGAAACTACCAACATACAACAATTGGGTAACCACATCTCCACTTTCACAAACGACTCCTTATGTAACACAATTTCGTTGCATCGTCCAGCATTAACCTATTTAATAAATCAAGACTCGGCCAACAAAATTCGGTAATCAATGGCTTACCATAGGTGACTGTCTCAATTTTTGTTGTTTCTTGTGATAAGCAGCAGAATCTGTAGGCTTTTGTATTTTGACGAGTGACGATTTGATGAACTATGCATAGTGCGCTGTTGAGTTCAACATCGCTAATTCCTCGACCACCAGGTAAATTATATAAATATTTTATCGTTTACAAATATATAATTTGGAACAGTAATTTCCGTAGTTTGAGTTGGAATCTTCCGATGTTTTGGATAAAAATTTGAAACTTTAGTTCTCAACAAGGAGTTAATAGTAGAAGATGATACAAGGCTTCATTGTAAGTGCAGAGTGACTTAAACATTCTGGAAGGATTAAATCCAAAGAATTTTGTAATTAAAATCTGTGTAATCTTCATTTTAAAATCTCAAAAGTTATTCGCAATGAAAAGGTAGGCATGATAACTGTGTTGAGAACTTTCAGTGTACTGTCTTAGTTAGTAATGTTTCTGCATGTCATAATCCATGTTTGCGATAATAAGAAAGTAAGAGCTAATGTTAGAGTTAAATTGTAAAGGTTTATATTGCTTTTATCAAGTGAATTACTATATTTGTCATCATATAGCATTTAAACTTATAATTATATGTTTGAAGTTATATTGGCTTTTGATACATTGATTTTCAACGGTCATTTAATGAGAAGTTAGTGAAAATTGATGGAAATGGAAAGATTATTTTAAAAGATATATAATTAAGTCTATAATTTATACATATATGGTCGTAAGGGAAATAATAGACAAGAAATTGTGCACACTTTTCTGGTTAAAAAGAATGAATTGGCATGAGTTTGACAAATAATCGTTAACTGATTATATACGGTTTTTCAGACGATGAGGATGCTCGAATCGTTATTGACCGCTTAGCAGAATTTGTTGCAAAAAATGGACTGGAATTTGAAGAACGTACTAGAGTCAAACAGTATGGTGATCCACGCTTCGCATTTTTGTATGGTGGTGCATTCGCTGATTATTATCGCTTTCGAGTAGTACAGGAAATTCGAAAATGTTTGATTAGTTCTTAGAAATAATGTCCTTATCATCATTTGGAAGGATCTTTGATAATTGTCGTGCATGATTGATTATAATGACCTATATTATTAAAACAGTAAGTGAAAAGGAAGAAAAGTGCAGAAATAATCCTTTATTAATTAAAAAAGATGTTGTCTTTATCAATATATTTTTAATTATTAAAAAAAGTAATGTCTTCATCAACATTTGTAAATAAAAATCATTCCATCACATTGCTACATATTTTATGCATACATATTAATATCTTGTATATTATTTAACTTTTGTGGGACAAGGATATGAAGGAATAGCTTTTGCATGTACATTGAGAGTACCATGTTTTTAATTTTTTCACAAATATTGTCATATTTTCAGTAAGTGTTGGGACTTCCCCTGCAGTTTTGGCCCCACTTCCAAGCATTCCAATTCCGCAACTTGACATAAATACTGCCATGGCTCAAATAGCAACGCTCAATCAACAGATTGCTGACAGCGAGTCAAACTTGAGAGCACAGTTTGAGTCCATCGAGCTACAGAAAGAAGTTTTTTTTACTGGATATTAGTAGACGAAAGTATTTATCAATGTTGTTGTAATGAAGCAAAGGATTTTATCTCGATTAGATTTTGCATTATGAAGTTTTACTTGGAGAAAATGTTTTAACAAAATCCCTCTTAAATTTTTTATCTTTAATTTATTCAGGCACAGCTTGCATTATCAATCGAGAAAGCTGAAGCTGCCAAGATAGCATCCGTATGTGAGCAAGTCGCACTTGATGTAGAACCTCTTTCAAGAATGCTTGATCACCTTAGCGGACATTGTAGTAAGGATGTTATTTCGGTATGTTAAGACTTAATTTCTATACGCTTATTAAGCTAAATTAGTTACTGAAATAACCTGGTAAATATCATATTCTGTTTTTGAGGTTTTTTCGTTACTCATAATAATTTACGAATCTCCTGATATTATTCTATCGAAATTTCTCCGATGTCAAGCATTAAACTTTTTTTTTTCAGAATAGCAAAAGATGGATATTTGAAAAATGCACTACTGATCGATTACGTGAAGCCATTCTTATGTATCTCCTTTACCGTGTTAAGGAACCACGTTCTACCGAACAGTTTAAACTCCATATATTATATTTAATAAATGATTGGGCTCATCACTGGTAAGAATCGTTGCTTTACACGGTTGTCTCAATTTGCAGCGTAAACATGCAAATATATCAATCAGTTCATGTCCAGTACAAGATTCTGCTTATTGCCTTTCCTCTAGAGAAATGTCTAGTGACTTTAGGTGTAGTTTTGAACGGGGAACCATAAGCACTGATTTTTGATGTAGTGCAAATTGCGATTAGTAGATTTAAATGCTGTACTTTTATATAATTTAACTGTCCTCGTTTTCAAAATTCTGCGTTATTATTGACTTGTTATGCAGCTTGTAACTATAATTTAGCCAGCGCAAAAAGTTGGATGCAATCCGTCAGATGTTGTCGCGATATGTACCACAACTTTACGCTTTCACGGCTCAGGGGGTTAAAGATGCCTCAGTGAATGAAAAGCTGGAGAAATTGATCGGTGTATGGGAAGGGCATAAATATTTTGACGATGGCTGTTATAAAGTATACTTTGCACTGGATTATTGAAAACATTTAATTATGCTGCTTTACTTATCGTAGTTGATCTGCAATATATATTGAAACTTTTCGTTTCATTAGGAGACGTGATTAATGTGTGCTTTGGAAAGATAATGTTAGTAAAGCAAGTTTTATAGTATATGTTATTGTCAGACATAATACTGTCACCCGTTACATAACATTAAATCTTAAACAATATAATAATGTTAATCAGAAAGTACAGCAAAATAAATCTTGACTTGCCATAGTTTTCAGCAGCTACGAAATCCATTGCTGTTGTATCAAAACTGGAAAAATGCGCAACAAGCAGAATATGCAAAATTGGCAATAGAAATTCATGCTCAGCTAATGGCAACCTATAACGGTTATGAACAGCAGCACATAGAATTTGCATTGCATTGCAGAACTCAGATTGCGCTGCTTCAACAGCAAATTGAGGCCGAAAGAAGAAAGCAGAGTGCCACTTTTATTTCGTTGATAATAATTTGTCTAAAGTGATTTATTTCGAGTAATAGTGTTAGTTGTAAATACATTCGATTTTCTTACTCTTTTTAAAGCATACTAAGAAAAGTATGGGCTGAGTTGCTCAATTTCATTAACTGCTCTTTTATATTGCAATTCTTAAAGCACATTTTTTACAGACATCCCTCCACCTGCTGGAGGTACAGTACTACCACCAGCAACCAATGAGTGCCCATTGTCATTGAATCGTCGTGAACGCCGATCACGATTTGATCAGAAGATTGCGGGACCACCACCACCAGTTTTGAATAATTTTGTTGCTCCTCCTTTAGAAAAGGATTATGGTCGATTTTTTTCTGCGCCACCACCACATACTAATGTACCATCACCGCAAGGTAAGCAAATGTTCCATAAGTTCAGCTTTTTTTATTTTTGTTTATCATGTTTAGAAATAAATTTTTTGAGGTCTTTTACAATTAAATAGTTGAATATATGGCATTTGGATTGTATGCCCAAATTGATGTGGAATATATGAAAATGTTTTCAAATAATTTGGATTATGCACCATTCAGAACACATAACATATATAACGCAGAATCATAACTTGATATTTGTATAGAATCAAATTATTTGTATGGATTCAGCCTATTAGGAGCTCTGATATTCAGTCTGATCTTTTGATGTTTAAGATATTTATCATGCTCGACCTGATGAAGACGAATCATCTTATCCTGTTTTCGGTGATAATGAATTTAACCGTACTAGAAATGTTATTAATCGAAAAAATGAAAAAAACATCCAAGATTCTCGTATATCGTTTCGTCCTCCTCTGCAAGTTCCAGCTTTCGGAATTCCGCTGCAGGGTGTAAGAATAAAAATGTTTATGTATCTGATATGTATTTTTTGATTGATTAATCACGTTTATCGCTCTACAGTCACTTTGCAGGTTTTCGATGATAGTGCTTTAATTCCTAGCGTTCCTTATTACGAACTTCCAGCGGGTATGATGATGCCTCTTATTGAAATGGAAGATGTACTGGTGATGTTTTTAGTCCCTGCTTTGATATTTATATAGATACTTGAGCACTTTCATGTTTTTGTCATGTAAACATGTCAAGTGAATAGCATATTTATGGCGGGACCACATTTTATATTACATTCTTTTTTCCGACTTGACATTTTGTGTAGTTTCTTATCCGCAATTTTTTTTAGTATAAACCTGTAATAGTGTCAAAACTACGCCTTCCGCCACCAATTCCTCCAACCGAAAGATTGGTACATGCTATTGATGCATTTTACGCAGCATCAAACGTAGAAAGTGCAAGAGATGCGTGAGTTTTGACTTCTGATTTTTTCATGGAGTTGAGTGTAGTATCTTATTGGCACTGTTACGTCTGTATTATGGTGAACTTCAATTAGTCTTTTCGTTTAAAATTATAAGTACATTCTAAATACCATAATAATTGTTTATCCTTTACTTTGATATGAAAACGAAATATGTACGGATTGGTTCTGCTTTTATAGACGTTTTTATATTTCATTCCAGTCAAGAAATATTATATCATTTAGTTTATTCAGTCAGAGATGACGAATTTCAGTCATATGATTTGATTTCATTGTTTTGGTTTTTTGCGGGACAAGTAAGTAGTGAAATTGTTAACATTATTCAGAGATGGTTGGGAACTACATGGTCTAGCAGATTATTTTGCAAAGAAAAGTGAAATTCTGAAGCAAGTGGAAGAAAAACTCAAAAGTGAAGGAAAGACATTAGACGATGCTATTGAGAATGTTTGCACCGAAGAAAATTATGAAGAAGAACGTAGTACGAGGTCTTCAAGATCAGGGTTAGTTTCATCAATACAATTTTTGTCTATTTCAGTTTTTTCAAAGGAAAAAGTTTTAGAAGTCGATATCGTTCGAGTTCTTCTGATTCTTCATCTTCTCGGTCAAGCTCTTATTATAGTAGCAGATCAAGACACCATTCAAGAAGTCGTTCTAGATCAAGTCGAAGCTCAAGTTCGAAGTCCCGTTCACGATCTCGGTCTCGATCACGTTCAAGTTCAAGGTGCATTGAATAGTATTTTTTGCTCTCCATTTTTTACTTAAATTGTGTTTCTTGTTTTTTAAGTTTTAATTTACGGATGTTTTCGGTATAATCGCGAAAAATCGCGGTCAGATTCACCCAGGTGGCGTAGAACTTCGAATTTACGAAGTGTTTCTCCAGAAGTACGACCGTCATTTGGTTATCATACAAAAGAGAACAACAGTCGAAGTCCCACTCCTAAATTGTGTTTATTCATTTTCGTTTTCGTACATTTTTTTTTTTCAAATATTCACAGTTCAGTTAATAACAGTTTGTAAATATGGTCACATACATTTATTTTCTGTAAAATTTTCTCAATGTTTGTTCATATAGCACTATTGTTCCAGCGTTCTTCCTCCTGGACCGCCACCACGAATAAGTTTAACGAATAAAGGTGCGCAACTACTAGCGAAAATGGGTTGGCAAGGTGGAGGTTTAGGTGCAGAAAGCCAGGTAAAATGGTCTGTTAGATCTTGAGCAGATTTGAGAAGCTTTTTAAAAATCTCTATTAAGTTAAGATTTTTAGGGAATTGAGGAGCCTGTTCCTAGCGGTGATGTTCGAGATGCAGTAGATCAGTTTCGAGGTGTCGGTTCAAGACCAGATATGTTTGAAGAATATCGGAAACAAATGAGTGGATACCATAAAACTCGTAATAAACGAGGTTTCGATTAAAGTAGTGCTGATCATTTAATAAAAGGACGCTATGTAAGTAAATTATTAATGACTAGGTTTACTCCTTCTGCTCAAATAAAAACAAATGATTCTCATGATAAAAATTTACGTTGTGCGTTTTTATTTTTCATTTGCAGCATATGAATTCTGAAGTATACACGAAAATTGGATATTAACATGTTGATTTGTTTCGTCATATTTTTTGGGATTCAAAAATTATATTAAGGAATGAGAAAATGAACGTGTTCTTTATTACTATTAGCGCTGCTGCAGTTTAAGCAGATATAAAATGATGCTGTTGTGACTGATAGCTTTTCATAATGTATTCATTTCATTACATTATTCAAAAATAGTAAGTTCTGCATGTGAAGAGTCTTGCTTATTTAACGACTGCTACATAGAAAAATATGCCAGTATTGAGATAATTAATGGAAAATTCTGAGTGGCTTGTATTGGCAGTGTTACAAAAGGTAATCTGTTAAAGTTATTAGTCACTTAGGGTACTTGTCAATAATAAATATTTGTGTATTTTAAAGGACTTTTATCGGCAATTTTTGAGAAGATCCATGATTCAGCTTTACTCATAATTAGTACATGTATTAGTTATGGAAGGTCTACGACAGAAATTTATGCTTTTTGTTATTTGAGTGCTTCCAAAAGTTTCTGAATAGTGGTTCAAGAGTGCACTGGTTTTATTGATAGAGGCAAGATTTGTTTGAATCTATTTATGGTTTATTGAATTAACCGAGTTTACATAACAAGGAAGGCAAAAGTTGTTATCAGGCTTCCATTCAAATCTGTAGGAATTAGTCGCCGAGAAAAGTGTTCTTGCTTTATTATGTTACGACAAATGTCCTTAAATATATATTAGTGCAAATTTTAACTTGAAGTTTATGACATTTATGAAATCGAGGCAAGACAACGCGGGATATTGTGATACTTTTTTCTCTTGGTTAGGTCAGTTGCTGTAACAGGCTTAATTTGTCATAACATCAAGTTTATATTACACTGAAACATTATTTATGTAAAATTTGTACATTTACAATGGAAATTGCTTAATATATTTCTGATTACAAAACCCGGCACTTTTACTTTTTACTTGTTTGTCACGGCTTTAGTCATGAATGGATGGGGTTATTTCACCACATAAATGATGTCTAAATTTGAATTTTCATATTGGAAATAAATAAAGATTAAGTAAATGTCTGGGCATGACAATTTCATAAATTACCACATAAATGATGTCTAAATTTGAATTTTCATATTGGAAATAAATAAAGATTAAGTAAATGTCTGGACATGGCATCTGCCCATCTATAAGCAATATTTTTATGCGAGCAAGCAAATCTTTTAGAGCTCGTTTACATAAGTGGATTTTTTACTCTGGTATATCCATCACCACACCAAATTGAGGGATTGTGTTGACTAACTCTTTACTCATATACTACATTTTACTGAATATAGTTGGGAATGCGGTACTTCAAATTTAGATCATTACGTAGCGGTAGATTTTAGGTTAGGATTTCTTTCTATGGAATAATTACCTTTATTAATCCTCGTATCTTCTTCTTTATGTGTTGCAAAGTATTTCCCGCTATATTTGCCATCGGATAATTTCAGATTACTTTGTCCATCAATACTACTTTTATTATTACTATCACTAGGAATTTTAATTACTGCATGCCAATATGGTACATCTTGGGGTGATTTTTTACAGATATATGGAACTGGTCGAATATAGCAACAATCGTTAAACCATTCTTGGGTTGTAGTATTTATTTTTACACATCTCCGACCTTTGTTATAACGAGGACGAGTTCCTGAAAAAGTGATACAATTTGAAGAATGCTTTGCAATTGTAAAAAATACCAATGCAACCACTACTTTCGGACTAAGTGTCGATATATTCATTTTTAGTAATGGAAGTGACCTTCCGCTTCATACGTTATAAACTTTAATTTGCGAGAAGTTATCTTCTGTTTTTGTTATCACTTAGTCAAGATATCACAGATATAGTGGTCAAGAATAAGAAGGCATTTTCCTTGCTATCCCTTTGACAAAGCGGTCGGCAATGTTAAAAGATTTGGTCATTCATTCGTTATTTCAATTAGTCACTTATTTTTCAATAAGCAGGTACGCAAATTTATTTTTAACCTGTAGGAATGTTGTTGAAATAAGTAATTAGAGTATTATTTAATCATTTTTTTTTAATCTTTCACAAAATTTTCGAAATAAGAATTGAGTGAAATTCCATTTTTCATAGTAGTTTTTTTTCGTAATGCTTGTCTGTTAATGAATGATTTTTTTATATTCGAAAGCTTTCAGTTGTTTCGAACTTAATTTTTCATAAATACAACTTGGTTTTAAGAAAGCAGATATATATATATATATATATGTTTTATAAACTTTAAGACGCTAATAAAGATAGAAACAAAATTATAAAAAATTGCAACCGTTCTTCCAATTTGCGTAGTCGAATGGTGAAGCGTCTATATATTCATAGTCTTTGGAATCATCGAATAACGCACCGCCGAGCCATATCGCTTGACCAATTTTTGAAGCTATTTCTGGTAATTAGCAAAAAGTTTGCTTGAAATGATAAAGAATCCAGGTCTACGCGAAAATGATTACTTTTTGCAAGTGCGGAATTGAAATTTAATGCGTCGTGTTCATCAGTAAGATTCATTAATATGTTCATAAAATAATGTATGGTGTTTGGATCAGCTAAGTAATAAGCAAATAACATAGCTCATTAAAGACGTAATAATTAATATTCCAATTTGCCAAGTCAAGAAAATTAGACTTTCTCACGCTGTAAAAGTTATTAAATTTACTTGATTTAAAAATTTTGGAAATTAAAATCTCATGGTATTTACACTCAGTCATATGCAATTTAACAGAAATTACTAGAACTTTTTGATATAGTACCGCCTAAAATACTCTCTTCTTCAAGGCAGTACATTTGGCGGTATAATATAAAAAAGTAGTGAAATCAAGGATCCATCATCATTATGGCTCCATTATTTACGTAAGTGATATGGAATAGGGATTCTGTATTCTCTATTAAGTAAGCAACTGTCATGAATTAAAGATTGAGTGTAAGTTGGTTTTAGAGTTTGGCATAGAAAAGAGTAGCTCATTTTGAAAGTATCTGAGCAGTTCATTCATAATATCAGGTTTCTGCCGCTCAGACAGATATTAGCTATTATCTTTTTGTGAAGATTCCGTTAAAATTTTTTCTCAAATGTCAATCATAATTTCATCTTCAGCCTAAAAAATCGTTTGCTCAATAATACAAATTAACAATAATTGAACTTTTGAATTTATTAGATTTTAAAATTTTTCTTCAGACATTCGTTTGTTTTCTCAGCTTAATTATTGCTGTGATTGAATATAACGTAAAAAAATTATAGCAATGAATTTTTTCATTTGATAGAAATTGCTTATTCTTTTTGGACAGTGATTAATGAATTTAAAAGGAATGATAAGTTAAAATAGAGAATAAAGTGAGCAAAAAAAGCAATCAGAGAATTAATTAATTAATTAATTGTTTTGAGTAAATAACCGGTAGAATTTTTTGATTAATAATTCAAAATGCAGTGTTTAACTGCGAAATGGATAAGTAGTCAGTTTATTAATTTCTGTTAATTTCATGATAATCCTTTAAGTCAACTGAAATCAGTACAGTACTGTAACTGATGACTTTGGAACTATAAAAAAAACTTAGTGTTTAAATTTTTTGTCATATGTGTGATTGCAGTAATTAATCTTACTATTTAGCCTTTCATCATTCTCCATTCACTGCATTTTTTTTTGACATCAATTTGTTCATCATTATCGACCATATTCAACAATTGTTATCATTACTTAATTATTTTAAAAAGTAAAACTTAATTACCTGATATAAATCGATTTTCTTGTTCACTATGAATGCTAACAAGGTTAGCTTTTTTTATCAAACATGCAAATTCAGCATTATTAAAAGTGCTTCGTGTGTTAACCAAAATATAGCAATATTTTGTATGTGGTGAATACAGCCAACCTTCTTTACATTTTCGTGCAAATATCCCTGCAATATTCAATTATAAATTTATACATTTTTCAAAAAAATTATTGAATAAAGTAAAAATTTTAACTTGAATTTAAAAAATATAAACATATCAGAGTTGAGAAAACTTTTACTTTCAATAACCAAAAATTGCATAAGATTAATAATCAAGCAAAATTAAGCAAACATTGCATGAAATAAATATCCATGCATGTATTGTTCATATAAATGCAAAATAAAGCATACCATTGAGTAAATACGCAGATAACAAGTAAATCAGTAAGCTTTTCATTGCGTAAACTTTTTGCGCACTCAGAAAGAATCAAAATGACTAAAACTGTTCGTTTATACAGCGCAAAATTTCTACTTATCTCTAAATTTCCTTTCCTTTTTTTGTACTTTTTTTTTAACTTCCGAAATTTGAAGTCAAAATGAAGTCATTAGTTGATTCTTTCGTTGCCTATTACATAAATCATTAATGATAAATATATTTTAAGAATGAATTTTTTTAGATTTATTTTGTATGACTGCAAAAATAAAATAAAATTGTACAGAAGACAAAGATGAAATGGAACAATTCAAAATAATGGCATGAGACAAAGTCGGAAAAATTTTCCAAAAATATATCAGTGGATATTTGATTGCACTTCATTTTGCATGAAAATTCATCAATTTTGTAAAAAATTAAACAAACTATGCAAAGATTTTTTTCTATTTGTTTTTTCAATTTTTTAAAAATAGTACATTTTGGAGCAATTACACAATACGTTTCTATTAATGAATAATAAAGTTTTTTCATTTTACTTAACACAACGCTATTTCTCACACTTTGTGTTTAAGTAATAGTCATTACAAGCAAAGAGTAATTCCACACTTTTTACTCTCAATCACAAAAAATTTGGAAAAAAAGGGATTATTACCAGTTTTTAGAATTTATTTTCAAAAAAACAACAAAATACAATAATTTTGCTTTGCTGCATTTGCATGTAATCGACCGTCTTAGATCACTTTATGATAGTGCCAGCAGTATTATTCTAAATATATCCACTCATAAATATACCAAATGCTACAAACGAAAATGCAAAGAAAATGAAAATTGTGGTCACAACATATTTGAATAATATCAAGAACAATAGTTAAAAACACTAAGAAAAAAGCTTATCAGTTTTGAGGAACCAGTAAAATGCTATTATTAAAAATATAATTTGCAAAATCATTTCTGTTAATGTTTGCAATTATAAAGTGTGTTAATAAAAGTTTCATTAGCTACTCGATAGATTCTTTTAAAAACTTTTTAAATTTCGCTACTTAATAAAGTTATTAACTTTTCATTAGCAAAAACCTGAAATTAATCATAAAGTCAAATGAAAAAAATGATATTATTGAGCATAAAATTCTGATATCCATTTTGGATTTTTCATTTTTCATAAAAATTTAATGAAAAGCTGATTATGATATTATAAATGAATAGATTTCAAAGCAGAATATGAATCGCATTATTGACAATAATACTTGTTAAAAGGTAATATACTTTATGACTGCTTATTTGTAGTCTATGTTTTGAAACAAAATTATTAAAATTTTCAATTTTATTTATTATTTGAATGTAATTGTATTTTTTATGTAACTACTAAAGGAAATGCAGAATTCAGCACATACTATGATATTTTTTTGCTTTAAAAGTTTTAGCTTCAGTGAACTACAAGTTTAAATTATATTTTTTAATACTATATAATATTTTATTATCACTTTTCAAGGTACGCTATATTTTCAATAAAATTTCAAAAGCATTTTATGAGTGAGAATAATTAGCATATACTTTGTGCTTATTAACAAATATGGCTACAGTCACTGTGTTCTAATACGCTCAATACTATCAGCAAAAAAGTGTTGTAAAGGTATATTTTTGTTATAAAACTGATGGAATACAGCATTTATTGCAATATGCATAGTAACAAAAATTTTTATAACATTTTATAGTGTCAATTTGAAATTTAAATTTATTCTTGCAAATTCTTTATAAAGTGCTGTTTTCTGCAATGTTTAAACTGGTTTTTATGTAAATAAATTGAATAATTTTTGCTTTTTTTGGCAAGTAAACTTTATAATTGCAATTGATCCTTTAATTATTCAATGCTAAGAACTGAGTATTTTTTCAATATAAAGATCTATAGTTTTATTGATAATGAATTAAAAATAAATTTCAAATTAAAAACTGCTTCATCAGAGCTGCCGGGAAATGAAAAATTATCTTGAATGACTTTTTTCAGTTTCAAATCCAGAAATTATTCACGTTTTTAATTATACTTTTGATTTGCTAATATCTCTTTTTATTGCAATATCATTCACAGATAGTAGTAATTTTCACTTCATGTTAAGCTTATAAAAAGAATTACTGTTTGTAAGTCAAAAGTCAAACAAGTTTAATCCATAATTCGAAGCTAATTAATTTTTTAAGTAAAAAATGCATCATTTTTTGATCGCATATTATTTGGAGCAATTGTATTTCTAGACAGTGATTAAAAGTTTGTACGTTTTTATTGAATTAATGGTACTTAAAACTTTAGTGAACAAATATTAAATGAAATGATTTTCATTACTTCAATTTCAGGCTGATAATGATCAAGTTTCACTTTTGCTTGCTTCTTCTCGTAGCAGCTGCAGCAATCTCTAACGTTAATATCATTAATACAAATTTTTAATTATATATTTTTTCGAATCAATCAATTATTCAAAAAAAACCATAATTAAGTTTTGTAATATTTTTGCCATCACACATTAAGAGAATAAATTTTTCAGGGTTGTGCACCTCCAATACCCCCTAATGATGGCAAAATCACTACTGTTTCCAGTACTCCAAGCATCGCTACCACTACCGTTAGCGCACCTACTACCAGTGCTGCCTCTACTGCCTCTAGTGATAGTCAATCACTTAAATTCGGTACCAATTCAGATAACAGAAATATAACGCCATTTTATGGAAATTGAAAGAAAAACATGATAGGGAAAGGTAGCATGATAAAAGTATTAGATAGCACGCAAATCAAAATGATTAATAATTTTAAGTAAGGTTGATACAAGTTTGTTCAAAAAACGATGAATATAATATTGACAGTAATAGCTACACTAATATGAGTAGCAATAACAATAAGCGATAATAAAATTAATAGTAATAATAATAATAATTATTATTATTATTATTTTTATTATTATCATAATTATTATTAGTATAGTAACAGGCGAAACGAATTAAACTAATTATAGATAGATTAATATTAGAATAGAGATCAGTGGTAGATTGTTCTCATTAATATCTCAAGGAAATAAAGTAAAATAGAAAAAAAATGTCATGAAAAATGATAAAAATTTTCACACCAAACTTGAAGATTAATAAAAATAAAACTTCATATAAATGTTGTGAATTATTTGACAAACAAATGTTAAATTATAATAAAATCAGGTAAAAAAAAGCGAGATTTGATGGAGCATCACTGCGAAAGAGTAACGGCCACTTTTGGCTTATCGCAAGCACCTAATCATTCAATGTCACCCGTGAAAATGAGGGATACATACGTAACAATCACTTATATCATTTTTGAATTTTATATTTGTTTGTAAAAGTTATTTATATCAATTTTTAGCTTCATATTTGCTCTTTAATTTGCCCATAAAATTTGAATTTTAAAAAGTTAATGTTAATGAATTATTCAGCTCCAATCTGTACTGAGAAATATCACTTACTCCAGACCTAAAACAGATGGATACAGGTTGGTTCTTTTCTTTGCTTTTATCTTCACTTTACAATCACTCAGCTTTTATATATTTTTGTATGAATTTGTTAGCATATTAATATGATATACATTTCTGCTCATAAATGAAATTATTGAAAGCATTTTAAAAATTTAGCAGTATTTTTTTTGTTCTTGCGCATGCTTTAATTAAACAAACAAGGTATTAGTTAGCATACTAACAAAATTACTTCACTGTACAAATAATAAATTTATTGTTGCTGAAATTCGTTTTCACTAAATTCTAATTAATAACAATAGTAGTGGTAATAAATATTACTGCAGTGAATTCCGCTTTATTTCTCTCAGAATACTCACAATTATCTAAAAATGATCATCGAATCAATGAATCACCTGAACTAATGTTATTTCCGTGCTTGATTTACTATAATGATAGAAATTAAAATGTTTATAATGAATTATAGGGTAAAAATTGGTAATAAAATGTTAAAATTATAAAGTTTAGCAGTATATATTTTATATCTTTTCTTATGTATCATTTTGTACTATTTCAGCTGTGCAACGATGCATGACATTTTTTGGAATTTAAAACAAATGTTGAATGAGGTATGCATTTATTATTATTTTTGGTTTTATTTTGCAAATTTATTAATGATAAATTGCTTCAGGATGTAAACTTCATATTTATCTGATAGAGAAAAAATAATCAGTATTGGTTGAATATTTATTTTTTCTAGTTTTCGATCATATGGTATTGATCACTTTTTAATCATTTTATTGACTGATAAGTCAGTTTACTAACTAAAGTTTCAATAGAATACATTTTATAACTCTTTTTTTCTGGTATAATTTTTTCAGATTACACTGATTTCCTGCAAATGCGAAGCTGAAGAAGACAGAACTAAGAATTAAACGAAAAACTCAAATATTCATTAATAAGACTGCAATTTTGTAAAAAAACCTATATTGTGCAATAAAAATTTGGTATAATAGAATGAAAAAGCACAATTTGTTCCATAAATATGTTAAAAAATCTTTAGTAATATCCAAATGTTTCGATGAAAATTCAAAGTTTAAGAATGCATTCATTGCAAAAAGGTCAGTATAAAGTTGGCGAAAAAGTTCGACTACCATCTACATAATTACTGACATTAATTACTGTAACAAATGAAAAAATAAGATGATAGAATTTCTTTTGGTTGTAATTGTTTTAAAATTCAAAGTAAAAAAAAAAAAGCAATTGAAAGCAAACAGTGAATTAATAATAAACTGGAAATAAAAAATACAAAAGTAGATTTTAAGGAAAAAAAGATAAAACCTAAATTTCTTATCAATTCCAATCAGAAAACACTGATAAGTATATAATTTTGAAAATTTTCTCAAACATGATTAATTCAATCTCAGCAGAATTGCAGTATGCTTTAAAAATGATGCTAATGATTTGCTTTTGTCTTAATTCATACTAAAAAGATTAAAAATAATTGTGCACAATATAAGCAGAAAACTTGAGTGATGATTACAATTGGTTTTTATCATAATGATTAGTGATTTTACCTATTTGTTTGTTTAACTTTCATTAATAAATGTTTTGGTGCATCAAAGTTCAAAAATTGTATTTTGCAAAATTTGGCATAGCAGCGGATTAATTTCTTAATTCAAACTAATAAAATAAGTACCTAAATAAAGATAAGTTATGAACGAAGCTCGAGAATTAATTGTCAAATAAATGAAAAAGTAACTTAAAATGAACGAAACGGAATCTAAGCTTAATATATTGAACTTAAAAACTTCATTTTTGAATGCTGAACTGAGTAGGGAAACTAAACGGCGAAATTTAAAAATGTCACTTTAGATTTATGCTTCTATCCAAAAGTGTATGAAATAATTTCCATGAATAGATTAATTTTCTAATACTTCACAATTATATCCAAATAATTTACTGATATGAGTATGTCTGCTAAAAATTAGGAATAATTTGCAAAAAATAGTTTTTATACAACGTTTGTTGCGCACCTTGCATCAATAAATAGCTTACATTATTTGTTGCTATATTATTTATCTTTAATAGTAGATCAAAGCTTTCATATCGGTTTGTACATGAAGAGAGTAATGCCAGAAATGTAACTGAATTTGACGATATACAGCAAAGATAATTCCATGAACTCATTATGCATTGGTCAAAAAGTTATTAAGGCATACATGTTTATTTTCAAGAATGTCAAATTTGAGAAGAAAAGAGTAATGAACGAAAATAAAAGTTAAACAAAATTTTTCATGAGTTTAGGGAGAATATTTGATTTACGATTGAAATTAAACAGTAATTTTTGATAAATTGAAACAACAAAACGAGGCATAATTTGGCATTTATATGCTTGCAATAACTTATCTTGGTTAATTTTACTTAAAAAATATGAAGTTAAAAAACTGATAATTACAAGTAATTAATATTTGCGTATGATAACACTGAAGAATCAAAAGTTTTGCTTGAAATTAATCATCAATTAAATAAATTGCATGAATCAAATATCAATGTGAAATTTTGTCTGTAACTTACATCACGAACTATAATTTTAGTAATGGAATTGAAAAAAACAAATTGGTTCAATAAATGGAGTAATAATAGTGAGATTAGCAAAAAGTTTGATAAAAAAGCCTTATACTTGAAGGAGTCTGACAAAGGCTTACTTCCGTTGTCTGAGTAGAATTATCACTGTAAACAAACAGATTGAATTGCTGAAATAAGCAGAAAAGTACTGAAAACTAAATTGAATATACGTGTATAATTGTGTACTGTTTGGAGACTGTTAAATCTTGTATTTGCGCTTGATAAGTTGTTCAAAATTATTCATTCACTAATTCCTTTACTTATTTATTCAAATAGAAGTTTCATACGAACATGCATATTCCAAAAAGGCAAGTTGTATGATTGCATAAAATATCAAGCATGCAATCTCCGTAATATTCACTGTATTTACCATAAATTATGAGTGATTACTCAATCGTTATTGTCGTTCACGTTTCCAATATTACTGCGTCAAATTTCACATCTCACTGGATTGCATTCATTTCATTATAAATAAGTAAATAAGTGAATATCTCTTCACGGTCATAACATCACATTATGTAAACTCACGTATTTTCTCCATATTTGTGCAGCTAAATCTCAACTGATGACAGTGCTTATTTTGTTAATTTTAATTTGTTGCAACTTCATTGTTCCAAATATTTCATTGTGAGGCAATACAATTTTAATCATTTTGAAGAATACAGCATTTATCTCTTAGCGTTCATACTAAGCTAGACTATACAATATTATATGCCATACTGTGCTATACAGTACAACTCATCTTCATTAATCTGACTTATTTCTGTTTCACAATAATTTTGAATGCACCCAAATGCTTTTGAGGTAATGTTTACGAATTTCTAGCAGCGAACTATATTTACAAATAAACAACTGTATATCAAGAAATCAACAATGAAAATTTCAAACACGAAAACGAGCATTAGTCTATCCTATATATTACATTACTTTCAAAAATGCGCATTTTGCTAACAAGCATATTATAGCTTATTTTTTCTTAAGTTCACTATACACTCCAAAAATTGCTTGAATAATTATGAGTGTTGGGTATTATTTATTTATTTATCCTGCATTCATTTATCGCTTATACAATAATGATATAAATAAAGTACATAATATTATATGCAAAAGTTTTTGTTATTACAAATCGCACACATAAAATTTTAATTATCAATTTATGTTTGAGTTTTGCATTTAATGGAAATATTATGAACAGGTGTATCTTTTTTTGGAATACAAAAACGTATGTATTGGACTATTTTCCCTCGCACGTCACGTTGGCGGTACAAAAATAATAATGACATATTCAAAGAATTGATATAGCTTGAAAAATTTGAGCATAAACCAATAAATATGCAATGTTGGCGTTGCATGTCGACACAGAAGCATTGCGCAAGTGATGGCAGTACATGCAAAACTGCAATTTTAAGCATTTAAATTAAAAAAGCATTTATTTATTTACTTAATTTTCAAATTAGCAAAATCGTCAAAGAATTAAGACTTCCAGCAAAACATTTTGGTAAATGATTGCTTTGCTAGTTTGATTTTGAATTTTATGTTTTTTGCTTTTAATTAGATGAATAGCTGCTCATAAATTTATTTTAGATTTTTTATATATAAGCATTAAAAAATAATTATTAATTATAGATATTTCA